CAGCAGAGGGGATGCTGTTTCCAGATTTTTACACAGCCAATCCTTTATGTTCCCCATGTGAGTATATTTATTTATCACAGGTACTTACAGTATACGGTGCTGTCAAAGTACGCAGCGCTTTACATATATATTGTACATTCACATCCGTCCCTGACCCTCAAGGGGCGTACAATCTAATATATAAAGTGAATGCCAACAACTGAACACACTGAACCATGGCATTCTGACCTGCGCCTGTTGTGTGGCAGGGTGGCCATTTCCAATCCCATTTATTTACTAAGATATAAAGGAATGACACCAAGGATAATACTATCCACAAAGCATCAGTAATACTGTAGAAGTAAAGTTCTATCAATATCACTATGTGATATGTAAATATCATCTGGGATATAGGCATTGTGACAGGATACAGCAGTGGTGGTCAGCATTCTAGATATGAGGGGGCTCAGGTTCGGCCCTCAACATCTCCTAGGGGCCACACATGAAATTCAGTGAATATTCAGTGTCAGAGACTGGAGAGGCACAACAGGATATAGAATAATGGCATGATGACAGATGGTCAGAGACTACAGACATGATACCAGAGATGGTCAGTGACTGCAGAGATGATACAGGAGATGGTAAGAGACTGCAGCCATGTACAAGAAAATGGTCTGAAAAAATGATACAGGAGATGGTAAGAGACTGCAGCCATGGTACAAGAAATGGTCAGAAAATGCAGAGTTGATATAAGAGATGGTCAGAGACTACAGACATGATACAAGAGATGGTCAGAGACTGCAGACATGATACAAGAGATGGCCAGAGACTACAGACATGATACAAGAGATGGTCAGAGACTGCAGACATGATACAAGAGATGGTCAGAGACTGCAGACATGATACAAGAGATGGCCAGAGACTGCAGACATGATACAAGAGATGGCCAGAGACTGCAGACATGATACAAGAGATGGTCAGAGACTGCAGACATGATACAAGAGATGGTCAGAGACTGCAGACATGATACAAGAGATGGTCAGAGACTGCAGACATGATACAAGAGATGGTCAGAGACTGCAGACATGATACAAGAGATGGTCAGAGACTGCAGACATGGTACAAGAGATGGTCAGAGACTGCAGACGTGGTACAAGAGATGGTCAGAGACTGCAGACATGGTACAAGAGATGGTCAGAGACTGCAGACATGGTACAAGAGATGGTCAGAGACTGCAGACATGGTACAAGAGATGGTCAGAGACTGCAGACATGGTACAAGAGATGGTCAGAGACTGCAGACATGGCTACAAGAGATGGTCAGAGACTGCAGACATGGTACAAGAGATGGTCAGAGAATGCAGACATGGTACTACAGAGATGGTCAGAGACTGCAGACATGGTACAAGAGACGGCCAGAGACTGCAGATATGATACAAGAGATGGTCAAAGACTGCAGACATGATACAAGAGATGGTCAGAGACTGCAGACATGATACAAGAGATGGTTTTTGGTAGAATGATCATTTAAAGAAATGTCATAGATGATTATTTCTTTTTATTGTACAGCGAGAGCAGCTTTGTTAACAGGACGTCTTCCTATACGGAATGGATTCTACACCACAAATGCCCATGCCAGAAATGGTAAGAGGAGATATGTTCTCATAGCTCTACCCACTTACCCATACTTACTCAAACCCCACCCCCACCTATGGTAACCCACCCTCCCCCCACCCAGTGGAATACATACCTGAATATTGCAACCTTGGGCTGCTACGCTGTTCCTACTGACTGAGCTGGCACGGTGGGTCCTCATAGACTGCTGTGAGACCATCTCCCAAAGTATCCCCTGCCTCATAGCTGTCTTTTTAGGAGTAACTGTGCATGCATGGCTAATAAGAAGAAGATTTTTTTGAGCAGATTGTAAACGTTGCAGTGGACCATGGTCACATATTGGAGATACATTTACATTGGGGAAGGTTGGCTGAGGAAGGGGTAATAATTAAATGTGCACTTCTGTTTTTTTCAGCCCACTTTTATTTTTTGTTGGGTTGAGGTCAGGGTTTAGTAGGGATGAGGTCAGAGATCTGTGCAGGGTTTAGTAGGGATGAGGTCAGGGCTCTGTGCAGGGTTTAGTAGGGTTGAGGTCAGGATCTGTGCAGGATTTAGTAGGGTTGAGGTTAGGGCTCTGTGCAGGGTTTAGTAGGGTTGAGGTCAGGGTTTTATGCAGGGTTTAGTTAGGATGAAGTCAGGGCTTTGTGCAGGGTTTAGTAAGGTTAAGGTCAGGGCTCTGTGCAGGGTTTAGTAGGGTTGAGGTCAGGGCTCTGTGCAGGGTTTAGTAGGGTTGAGGTCAGGGCTCTGTGCAGGGTTTAGTAGGTTGGTTTGTCAGGGCTCTGTGTGGGGTTTAGTAGGGTTGAGATCGGTGCTCTGTGCAGGGTTTAGTGGGGTTGAGATCAGAGCTCTGTGCAGGGTTTAGCTAGTTGAGGTGGGCTTTGCAGGGTTTAGAGATCTGTGCTCTTTGTTTGGGGTTTAGTATTGCTGAGAGGTTAGGGCTCTGTGCAGGATTTAGTGGGGTTGATGTCAGGGCTCTGTTTGGGGTTTAGAAGGGCTGAGATCTGTGCTTGTGTAGGGTTTAGTATTGTTGAGGTTAGGGCTCTGTGTAGGGTGTAGTTTTGTTGATCTTAGGTTTCTGTGTAGGGTTTAATAGGGCTGAGATCAGTGCTCTGTGCAGGGTTTACTAGGGTTGAGGTCAGGGCTCTGTGCAAGGTTTAGTAGGGTTAGGTTAGGTTTTTGAGGTTTTAGGTTTTGTGTAGGGTTTAGTAGGGTTTGAGGTTAGGTTTCTGTGTAGGGTTTACTAGGGTTGAGGTTAGGTTTCTGTGTAGGGTTTACTAGGGTTGAGAGGTTAGGTTTCTGTGTAGGGTTTACTAGGGTTGAGGTTAGGTTTCTGTGTAGGGTTTACTAGGGCTGAGGTTAGTGCTCTGTGTAGGGTTTAGTAGGGCTGAGGTTAGGGCTCTGTGTAGGGTTTAGTAGGGCTGAGGTTAGGGCTCTGTGTAGGGCTGAGGTTAGGTATCTGTGTAGGGTTTAGTAGGTTGAGGTTAGGTTTCTGTGTAGGGTTTACTAGGGTTGAGGTTAGGTTTCTGTGTAGGGTTTACTAGGGTTGAGGTTAGGTTTCTGTGTAGGGTTTACTAGGGTTGAGGTTAGGGCTCTGTGTAGGGTTTAGTAGGGGTAGGTTTTAGGGCTGAGGTTAGGTTAGGGCTCTGTGTAGGGCTGAGGTTAGGGCTCTGTGTAGGGCTGAGGTTAGGGCTCTGTGTAGGGCTGAGGTTAGGGCTCTGTGTAGGGCTGAGGTTAGGGCTCTGTGTAGGGCTGAGGTTAGGGTTCTGTGTAGGGCTGAGGTTAGGGTTCTGTGTAGGGCTGAGGTTAGGGCTCTGTGTAGGGCTGAGGTTAGGGCTCTCTGTAGGGCTGAGGTTAGGGCTCTCTGTACGGTTTAGTAGGGCTGAGGTTAGGGCTCTGTGTAGGGCTGAGGTTAGGGCTCTGTGTAGAGGGCTGAGGTTAGGGCTCTGTAGGGCTGAGGTTAGGGCTCTGAGGGTTAGGGCTCTCTGTGTTAGGGTTTAGTAGGGCTGAGGTTAGGGCTCTCTGTGTAGGGCTGAGGTTAGGGCTCTGTGTAGGGCTGAGGTTAGGGCTCTGTGTAGGGCTGAGGTTAGGGCTCTGTGTACGGTTTAGTAGGGCTGAGGTTAGGGCTCTGTGTAGGGCTGAGGTTAGGGCTCTGTGTAGGGCTGAGGTTAGGGCTCTGTGTAGGGTTTGAGGTTGGGTGGTTAGGCTCTGAGGTTAGGGCTCTGTTTAGTAGGGCTGAGGTTAGGGCTCTGTGTAGGGTTTAGTAGGGCTGAGGTTAGGGCTCTGTGTAGGGTTAGGGCTGTGTAGGGTAGGGTTGAGGGTTAGGGCTCTGTGTAGGGTTTAGTAGGGTTGAGGTTAAGGCTCTGTGTAGGGTTTAGTAGGGCTGAGGTTAGGGCTCTGTGTAGGGTTTAGTAGGGTTGAGGTTAGGTTTGTCAAAGAGATGCAAGATTGTGATTAGTAGATCGGGTTAGTCCTCATCCCAGATCTGGTGTAGGGTTGTGCGGTTGAGGTTAGGTTTCTGTGTAGGGTTTAGTAGGTTGAGGTTAGGTTTCTGTGTAGGGTTGAGGTTACGGCTGTGTGTAGGGTTTAATAGGGTTGAGGTCAGGCCTCTGTGCAGGCCAATGGAGTTCCTCTAATCCACACTCTCCTCAATGTCTTTATGTAGCTAATACATAGGCACAGTCATGCTGGAACAGAAAACGGTCCTCTCCCAAACTGTCTACCACAGTGCAGGTCACATATACCTTGAAGGAGAAGCAGTCCTTGCCTAAGGTCATGGGTAATGGATTTGGTTTCTCTTGTACAGCTTACACCCCCCAAGAGATAGTGGGTGGAATCGCCGATTCTGAAATGCTGCTGCCAGAACTACTGAAAAAGGCTGGATATGTCAATAAGATTGTTGGCAAATGGTGAGTAATCCGCAAAGACTGCTGAACTGTTACGGCAATCAGAACAGAGGTGGCTGTTAGCAGAATATGTTGGTCTTCTCTTACAGGCACTTGGGGCACAGACCCAAATATCACCCATTAAGACACGGCTTTGATGAGTGGTTTGGGTCACCTAACTGTCATTTTGGACCTTATGACAACAAACAGCGACCTAACATACCGGTGTACTGTGACTGGGATATGATTGGGAGGTAAGTGGTTGATGGTACCATAATGCTGGCTGCTTAGGTGGGTCATACCCACTGAACTTGAATAGACCATAGTATGATATAGTGTATTATTTACTGATAAGAACCTGACCTAAAGAAATCCCCCCAAAAAAACTGTAGTTTCTCTTTAAAAAAATCAAACTGGAACCTGAAAACTGTGAATTAGGTAACACATCTAATGTACATATTTGTAGTCATAAATGGGCATCCAAAGCGGTCTGAACTTTCATCATATAATAATTAAAACAGCATGTCACCATATCCAAAAAAAGACTTGTTTCCAACCATTAAGATGGCCGTCTCGTTCCGGTGCGCAATGACGTCACACGCTCTGGCTCCACCCAGGGATGCAATATTGTGTTGGCTGCTTATGTGGCTTATACCCACTGAACTTGAATAGACCATAGCGTGTTATAGTATATTATATACTGATAAGTACCTGACCTAGAAAACCCCCCCCAAAAACCCTGTAGTTTCTCTTTAAACAATCAAACTAGAACCTGAAAATTGTGAATTAGGAACAGGTAACACGTCTAATGTACATATTTGTAGTCAGAAATGGGCATCCAAAGCAGTCTGACTTTTTTTGTTGAGCATCCTTTTCTTGTGTTAGATATTATGAAGACATACAAATTAATCACAAGACGGGGGAGTCCAATTTAACAGAGATCTATCTGCAGGTAAGTGTACCTGACTCCTGATCCTACAGCAGTACAGGTGTACCTCGGTTTATGAACGCCTCGGTTAACGTAATTTTCGGTTTACGAATGAAAATCCATTGAAAATAATGTCTCCGTTTACAATTTTTTTTTGCAATACGAACTAATTAATTGTTATTCAATGCATTTACGATTTATTTTTAATCATGTTCCTTTATGCCTTTAAAGTGCACATTATAAAGAGTTTTGAACAGAAGACTTTTTTTTCTGACCTCCGGAACGAATGAATTGGTTTTCAATGCATTTATGAATTATTCTTTTAATCATGTCCCTTTATGCCTTTAAAGTGCACATTATAAAGAGTTTTAAACACATTAATTTTTTATTAAGTTTTAAATGAATTAATTGATTTTCAATGCATTTACAAATTTGTTTTTAATTATGTCCCTTTATGCCTTTTAAAGTGCACATTATAAAGAGCTTTAAACAGATAAAACTGTTTTTTACTTTTTCTGACCTCTGGAACGGATTAATTGGTTTTCAATGCATTTACGAATTCATTTTTAATCATGTCCCTGTACAGTATTTATGCCTTTAAACTGCACTTTATAAAGAGTTTTGGACAGATAAAAGACTTTTTTTTTTTTTTTTTTAAACTTTTTTCTGACCCCTGGAACAGATTAATTGGTATTCAATGCATGCCTATGGGAAATCGCTTTTTGGTTTGCAAATTTTTCGCAATGCGAAAAGTCCCGTAGAATGAATAAAATTCGTAAACCGAGGTACGCCTGTACTTTAAAAGAAACATTATTTAAAATGTCTAAATAAAGCAAATGTAATATAAAAAGAAAAGATCAGAAAGGACCTGTCTGTCCAAGGGTAAGGATTAGAATCGTCCATGTGAATTTAGAGGGTGACGTTGCACTTTAATCTTGATTTTTGTCATTTCCATGACCTGCTCTTGTTCTTATGTGTGTTTTTTTTTTATTGACAGGAAGCTTTGAACTTTATCAGTAAATATGGGACGACAAAGCAGCCGTTTTTTTTTTGTACTGGGCGATTGATGCCACTCATGCTCCTGTCTACGCCTCTAAAGCTTTCCTGGGAAGTAGCCGCAGAGGACTGTAAGACCTAAATCGCAGCCAATAAACCGTAGAGTATAACCGAACCCCATTCGTCGAAGAGTTTTATGTGTTTCCCTACAGCAGCCAATGAGGATCCAGTTTTCAGGGTGGAAATGTTATGTCTGTTGTATGTTTTCATGTGATTTGGTGACTGTGGGGAAAATACATTTCTTATTTCAGATGCACCATATAGCCAAAACTGTGGGCATCTGGCTATCACACCCAGGGCTTTTTTTTTTTTCAGGGGGAGCACAGTTCCGGCACCTCCAGCACTGAATGGGATACTGGAGGTTTTAATGATGCTGGCTACTGGGGGATCTATTGTACCAGGAAGATCATCTGCTGCGGGGGGAGTCTATTGTTGCTGGTGGGGGATCTATTTTTTCTGGAGGAATCTTATGTTGCTGGGGGTCAATAGTTGCTGGGAGGGATCTACTGTTAAGGGAGCGGTCTATTGTAGCTGGCTGCTGGAGGGTCTATTGATGCTGGCTGAAGGAAGATCTACTGTATATTTACATAGGGGGTCTAGTGTTGCTGGGGAGGGGTCAATAGTTGCTGGGAGGGATCTACTGTTTGAGGGAGCGGTCTATTGTAGCTGGCTGCTGGAGGGTCTATTGATGCTGGCTGCTGGAAGATGTACTGTATATTTACTATTTACATAGGGGTATAGTGTTTGCTGGGGTGGGACCAACCCATAAAGTGGGTATGATGAACAGTCCCTGTATATTTAGAGGCAGGTCAGGTGGAACCAACCCATAAAGGGAGTATGATGGATGGTCCCTGTATATTTAGAGGCAGGGTCAAGTGGAACCAACCCATAAAGGGAGTATGATGGACGGTCCCTGTATATTTGGAGGCAGGGTCAGGTTAAACCAACCCATAAAGGGAGTATGATGGACGGTCCCTGTATATTTAGAGGCAGGGTCAAGTGGAACCAACCCATAAAGGGAGTATGATGGACGGTCCCTGTATATTTAGAGGCAGGGTCAAGTGGAACCAACCCATAAAGGGAGTATGATGGACGGTCCCTGTATATTTGGAGGCAGGGTCAAGTGGAACCAACCCATAAAGGGAGTATGATGGACGGTCCCTGTATATTTAGAGGCAGGGTCAAGTGGAACCAACCCATAAAGGGAGTATGATGGACGGTCCCTGTATATTTAGAGGCAGGGTCAAGTGGAACCAACCCATAAAGGGAGTATGATGGACGGTCCCTGTATATTTAGAGGCAGGGTAAGGTGGAACCAACCCATAAAGGAGTATGATGGACGGTCCCTGTATATTTAAAGGCAGGGTCAGGTGGAACCAACCCATAAAGGGAGTATGATGGACGGTCCCTGTATATTTAGAGGCAGGGTCAGGTGGAACCAACCCATAAAGGGAGTATGATGGACGGTCCCTGTATATTTAGAGGCAGATCAGGTGGAACCAACCCATAAAGGGAGTATGATGGACAGTCCCTGTATATTTAGAGGCAGGGTCAGGTGGAACCAACCCATAAAGGGAGTATGATGGACGGTCCCTGTATATTTAGAGGCAGGGTCAGGTGGGACCGACACATAAAGTAGGTATGATGGATGGTCCTTGTATATTTAGAGGCAGGGTCAGGTGGAACCAACTCAAAAAGTGGGTATGAAGAGCAGTTTCTGCATATTTTGAGGGAAGATCTGGGTGGGACAAACCTATAAAATGGGTGTGATGGACAGTCACTGCATAATTAAAAGGGAGGGTCTGGACAAAACCAACCCATAAATGGGGCATGATAGATGATCCCTGAATATTTAGAGGCAGGGTCTGGACAAGACCAACCCATGAAGTGGGTGTGATTTGGGCACCTTGGTGGATGAAATGTGGATTGGGTGGGGTTACCAGTGTCCATCCCACTATCTGGCATCACAATGCTGGTGAGTATGTAGGTGTGATGGTCAGTCTATGGCCATATTGTGTACCTCCACTGCCGAGGTTGGCTTTTCCTAGCCTAGAGGAACACTCCACTTCCCCATGTCTTTCAAGGTTAAATCTTGTAGACATTCTAAATCACTGAATCAATTCACCTGTAATTACTCTGGTGATACGGCATTTGTAATCAGACAATTTTGGACAAATAACTTTTTTTGGATGTTCAAAAAAACAAACAAACCGTGAGCTGTTAATGGGTCCGGAGTCCTGCTTTACACTGGTCCATGAGGATGGGATGTTCTGGTGCTGACTCTCTTCTCTGATATCCCAGGTACGGCGACGCTGTCCGTGAAATCGATTCCAGCATTGGGAAAATCCTGGAATTGATAAAGAACATGGGCATAGCTAAGGACACTTTTGTCTTCTTCACATCTGACAACGGGGCGGCCCTCATCTCTGCACCCACTCAAGGTGAGAACAGTTCCTCTCCCAATTACCTGCTCATTTCCTTCAAAAAATGAAAGTTTAACCAAATACATTTTTTTTAGCCCCTCAGCTTTATTGACCCAACTTGGCTGCACATCCTGCAGGCAGCTTGGATTCTGTAGAAATCTTCACTGCAGAGATGTCTTGTCCTCTTCCTTTGTCTGAGCTTCCGGCACACAGGGGGTTAATAGCTTCGAGTCTTCTTTTGAACCTGCTGTGAAAAAGTTCAGGACCCGCCCCCTCCTCCCTCCTCCTCCTCCATTTGAGAAAGCAGTAGTGCAACCAGTGAATGGAGAAGAGTCTAATGAGTCACAGATTTCCCTCCTCCATTCACAGATCATGTTACAGGCAGTGAAAGAACCTTTCCCAATGGAGAAGGAGGAGGGAGGGGGCGGGTCCCAGTTGGGAGATTTTTCAAATAAATGAAGCCCAGAGTCTTAAGCTATTAACCCCCAGCACACCAGAAATCAGAGACAGGAAGAGGACTGGGCCTGCCTCCAATGAAGATCCAGCAGACTGCTTACGTGGGAACATCGTTCATTACAGGTAAGCTGTATTTTTTAGCTAAACTCCAATTTTGAATCCAAAGTATGGTATTTGCAAATTCTTTAGAAAAACAATACCTATACATAAAACAATACTGTATATAAAATGGAATGAAATGTATAAAAACGTATCAACGTGTATAAGATAACCCATTTTGAAGAAAAATATATTTGAAATATATTTTAAAAATTTTCTTCCCAAATATGTTGACATATATTTACAATGCTACAGTTTTGGCCATATTCAATACATATATATATATATATACACATATACATACATACATACATACATACATACATACACACACACTGTATGTTGAAATGCGTTTTTTTTACAATATATTACAAAATATATGAAAAATACTTTTAAAAATACATTTCAAATATACTGTATGTCTTTAAAAATATTTTTTTTTTTAAATTCTTCAGATTATTATTTTTTTTTTTTTTAACATATAACAAAGTGAAACACACTTAATAAAATACGTGAATAGGTAGACGCTATAACAATTATATTTTAAAAAAATGAACAAACGTGTGAATAATGCAGTGGACTCTCTATGTCATCATTAAGATGATGTTCCTATACAAAAATTGTATATAGTGAACATTATAGTGACAGTTCTGGGAAGATGTAGTCCTGTCGACCGAAAATGTGCTCTTTCACCACGTGCAAACAAGAAGTGAATGGGACTGTCACTATAATGTTCCCATTATATACAATTTATTATTTTTAGCCCATCATTCCTCAAAAGAAATGCATTTTAATTGTCTTTGGTCTCCATGATGTTAGTTAATCCCTGAAGAAGGGGGGAAGCACCTTGAAACGTGTTTGATGGGTTTTTTCTTTATATATATTATACAGTTACCCATAAAATAATTTTTCGATTTATCAGAAGTCCAGGATTGTTCATTTATGGGGCGATTTATCCACCAATACATATTTCCAAAATACTGTAAATGATAGCATGCGCTTTTCCATCCATTCACAAGTAACATTTGTAATCTAGACCCAGTGCGAGGAATTGACACCAAACAAAGCGCTGTCTGTGGGGGGGCTCTGATTACAAGGGCGTGGGATTATTGTACTCCATGTTTAGATTTTATTTGTAAATCCTGACAATCTTCTAGGCGGAAGTAACTCTCCCTTCCTGTGCGGGAAGCAGACAACCTTTGAGGGCGGTATGAGGGTGCCGGGGATTGCCTGGTGGCCGGGGCATTTGCCTCCTGGCCAGGTGAGACTTGAGTTTATCTTTTTATTATATGTACATTGATTAGCTATATTTGTAAGGGGAAAAAATAAATATAACACCAAACCATATTTTTTTTTTATTAATGCGTGAGAAAACGTACTTTTGTGATGTTAGCAGATCTGCTTCATCTTTCATACGGGCAGCACAGTGGCTAAATGGTCAGCACTTCTACCTGGCAGTAAAAGGGTCGTTGGTTTGAATCCCAACCACGGCACCTCCTCCCTGGAGTTTGCATGTTCTCCCTGTGCCTGCGTGGGTTTCCCCTGGGTGCTCCGGTTTCCTCCCACACTCCAAAGACATGCTGGGAGGTGAATTGGCTCCTGTCTACATTGGCCCTAGTATGTGTATGTATGAACGTGAGTTAGGGACCTTAGATTGTACGCCCCTTGAGGGTTAGGGACTGATGTGAATGTACAATATATATGTAAAGCGCTGCGTAAATTGACAGCGCTATACAAGTAATATAATAAATGGATATAATGGCGCCTATGAAAAGGGTATGAATGGATCACTAGCTAATGTACCAGCTGCAAAATCCACCATATACTAATAAAGTGTGTAACAAAAAACAAAAATATTAATTTGCGCTAGTAAGTAAATAAATACCCCAAAAAAACAAATGTGACTGTGAACATAAATAAATAAAAAAAATATATAAATAAATATTCACATCAATATAAATAGTCACATCAAAGCCCGACCTACGCGTTTCGTCAGACGTCTTCACGGAGCCGACGCTCGGTAAGGACGTTGATGACTAAACACGTAGGG